TCAAAAAGAAACTAGCTTAAACAGGGGGCTGTCTCTTTTTTTTTTTGAATGTTCCTTGTTTCGAAATTCGTAGTGAGAACTGCTGTTCATAAGTGTATAAGGGGTTTTTAGAAAATGTGATTACTATTATCTGCTCGCCACTAGTTCATTTTTTAATTTCTAATGTTTTCTTATGATAGTGTTATGGTTGCATGTGGCTCTGCAGCTGGCATGAAGCACGTATTATGCTAAAAAGCCTTACGCTATTAAATGGTCATTATAGTTGCTCGGCATACCACATATGCTGATTTTCCAATGTTGTAGAAAGCTTGCGCCCATTGCCAACAATTTCTCAAACTTTATTTTTTTGCGATGTATTGTACAATGTAATATGCTTTGCACGTTCTGATATGCACTCGTTAACGTGTTCTGCTATTTAGTGCCACCAGAAGAGCGCACTTTTGAAACTGCTGTTGAACCTCTATTGACTGAAGAATACGATGTGGACTATGCACTCCAGACTCTTCTTTTGAAAATGTTAACCGATTGGCCAGATTGCAGCCGCAAATTATTTGACTCTGATTTGCACCATGTAAGCTTCAAAGTTCTTCTCTGTTTGGTCCCATTATTTTCTTTCGTTGTTATTCGTTTCTTAACCAATCGCTTCCGACACTACCTTCTTAGATCAAAATAATGAGCGCTCGAGATCATATGGAGAAGCTTTCTAATGCGGATTTTCAAGCAACAATTAAGGTACCTTTTTTGAATGTTTCTAAGGTCTTTTTACTGACAAAGTAATGTAAAGTAGTACTTTCAGCAACTCTATGACTCTAAAGAAGGTTTAAACGAGTGGCAGTTACGTCTGTTGGAGTGGTATCTGTTAGAGGTATCTGCAATTTTCATTCAATGCAATCTATTCCATGCGTAACCTATATCCTGCTCTTCAAAGTTCACTGCTTGCTCGTGATTTCTTTTGTTTTTTCTAGTTAAAAGAATTATTGCAGGTGCGGGCAAGTGGTTTGGACAGGACTGATGACAAAACTAGAAAGCTTATTGGATCGTGGAGTAAATACATTGATGAATATCGCAGCAAGTACATGTATGTGCTCGATTGAAATTCTCATTTAAATCAGAAATCGCTCAGTCTTCATACAGATTTATCCTTTTTTGAAGGAGACCAATTATAGTTCTAACGTTATGGCAACCAATGATCAAGTTGTATATACTATCACTGACAAATCCATGTTAAAAGATGCTCCACCTCACGTACTCCAAAAACTGGCTGTAGACCCGTAAGTTTGGACCGTATTCGAGATATTGCGTGTTTAGACTTTTTTTATGACCTAAAACTTTTAATTTACGTTTTTGTTTGATGTGTTACAGTGCATCTCTCTACTTCAATAGAGATGTTCAAAACCATTATCGTTATCTTGGTCTTTGAAATAGTCAAGCGAATCTCATCTTCGTTTATGGCTCATTCATCACTTCTAATAATTCTTTTTTACCTTAATACCAATAAGTTTAGATCTGAAAATGCAAGTGTAGTAGGTCATTCAGTTATCTATCTTAAGAACACAATGGGAACAGGGACCGTGGCGTGGAAGAATGACTCCGCATACAATCTACCCATTCATGCAATACTGTGGCAATCGTCAGCTTAGAGCCGAAGCATGGATGAAGTGGATCAGCAAGGTTTTAAAATTGTGCAATTATGCAAACATAGCATCAGTTTCGTATCCCTTTTTAAGAAATTGTATGTTAAACTTTTTAGGCATCATTTGAACACGATTTTTACAACAATTCTCTCAATCTAGAGGAGTTGCGGCATAATAAGTGAGTTACCTACTTTATTGTTTTTTTCATACTTCTTAAGTATAAGCCTTTTCGCTTACAATTTTTTCTCTCTTTTTTT